GCAGGAATAACTGGAACTAAAACCCATGTCAGTTCCTAGCTGATAAATAAATAAGAACAAACTCAATACCTAGAGAGTTGCAGCGCTCAATCTGGTTGGAAACTGGCTGCAGCGAGGCAAATCTGGAATCTGGCCGGCAGCTTTTGAGTTTAACAAAAAGAGCTTTCTTTGGAGCACAAGTGAAGTATCGAGTTCCTTTAAATGTTCCATCTGTACAACCTGCACATTCATCTTCCTGAAAATGAAAGTGAGAATTCATTATTTTTTCTTCTTTCTAGAATTCTGTAATGGGATGTTTGATAAAGCAGCTACCCATAAGTCACCCCTCAGCTATTCTGAAGTTTGATATACAGTGTTCCTGCAAATTACTATACAAGGCTTCAGCTGAGGTGTTCTTTAACTTGATTTATTGAGAAGAAAACGTGTCTCAATCTTCTCAATAATTTTTCCCTCCAAACAAAAATAAAAAACATTTAAATTTTTGCATAAGAAGAAACTTATAGGGGGTGGGATAGGAGAGTAAGAATTAAACCTCATCAATTTTAAGAATCTAACTAAGCCAGCAAGTTTCTCTAGATTCCCTCTATAGTAAGAGAATATGCACAACTGGACATCTTTTAGGACTCAATTAAAATCATTAAGCTTTGGGCAGAGTGAGTATTTCCAGCATACAAAACACACACCAAGGAAAGACAACACAACTTAAGTCTGAAAAAAACGATTATTTACGTATCTCTGACAGCATCATTTAAGGTATATTATCTGCTTAATAACAGTTATGAGATTTTCAAACAAATGTCAAATTTGGGCCTTGAACCTGCCTACATTACATATACCATCCATAAATACAATCTCAGAACGTCAGTGTCAAACCATAGCTTTATCTTCACCTAAAAAACCACACGAGTATCAGGATTCTTTGTAGCAACTGAAATCCCAGTCATATCTCACCTACTTTGCTAAAGATGTTTGTTGTTTTACGTACAATGCTACGCTGCTTCATCTGAAATTTTACTGAAAGTTATCCCAAAATAAAAAGAATTCTATACCTCTAATTGCATACAAAGGAAACTGATTTAAATGATAGCCATTCACAACTAGGACAGCAGCCACCATAAAGTAAATTTCAGTATATAACAGCAATTCATATTTGTAGCAACTGTGAATTTACAGGTGGCCTGTAGGAACACAAAAACATGTTTTTCAGTACCAAGACGACTACCACTGATTACCAAGATCAGCATTACCATGCTGATAGCATCCATGTTTGCTATGTGCAAAAGCAGGGAGGTGGGAAGATGCCCCACACTCTAATGACACACACTAATGACTCTAATGAGCAGGGGCATTTTATATAGATCCTTTGTAAAAGGAAAGCCATGGATATACTTGAATACTTCTTCCAAACATCTTTATAAGCTGAGCAAAGGACACTTCTTTAAAGCAACTAAAAGTGACTAATTCTACAAATTCGATTACTCTTTTTGACACAAACGCATCTTAGAGTAAGGTCTGATGCAGCCAGAAAAGTTAAGAGCTCATTTAAAGTTTTACCTAGGTTATAAGCAGATCATAGGACGACCTGTTGAGACAAACTCCTCCAGACTTCTGCAGAGTATGCAGATTCCAATTCTCAGCTACAAAACTAACAATACAGGAAATTAACAAACCTATGATTTTTCAGATTATATTTACCAGTTCCAGTCCAGCTAATACTTCGTTTACTCCAGGGGGCTGGCCAATCCAGCGGATTACTCCATAGAAAGGAGGATTTTCTTTAACCTCAGCAAGGGAACCTGCTTCAAGACCATGCGAGTTACTGACAGGACCTGCTGTTGATGGACTCTCCTGGTTAGCTGTAGTATTTACATCACCAATGACGGATTGAACAGATAAAGAGAGAGGACTGTGTCCAATAGTACCATTAGTATTCGAGGTTTTTGTCAAGCTAAAAGGGAGGGAGTGAAATCTGTTTTCTGTAGACACAGAGTTTGTTAAAGGTGGCTGCAGAGGTGGTGAGGAATGCCCAAATCCCGGAGAAGAATCAGTGAGTGATTTTGCAGGGTCTTCAGCAACTGTTAAGAAACAAGCAAGATGTTAACTACTTTTCCCCCCTCTCTTAGCAAAGAGGGGACTTAGCTGTCAAACAATAAACGTATCTGCAACAAGCCAGATCACACATAATAGCTGTCCTGGCTAGGATCTAGTAAAAGTGGGGAACATAAATGAAGATACTTGTCATGGGGCAACACTGGAGAGACAAATCACCTGGCTGAGGCAACACCACTGTAGCCCTGTTGCTTTCACCACAACCAATGGAAACAAACAGTACAGAGAAAGGAGCACAACTGGACATGGCCAGCATGCTGGGAGACCCTCTAGGTATGAGGTTTCCCTGAGAAATATCTTTGTTCCCTCTAGTGGAACAGGGGAATTCTGACCCTTCCCCCACCACCTTCAAGACAGTTATTTTTCTTTTTTTTTTCCTTCTTTTTTTTTTTTTTTTAAGTCCAGTCAAAATCAGATCTAAGTGAATATGTCAGCACCTCTTGTTGAACAGTTATCCTGAGGAAGCATAATTCTACTATGGTTACTTGGAAAACCAAGAAGCAAGGAGAATAGGTTTTCTGATGCAAGCTGTGAGATGCTAGCCAGAAACTATGGGAAGGTTTAGATCAAAAACAGATTTTTCTTTAACCCCATGGCAGAATTTGTGTTTGAACATAAGCTAATAGCCCTCAAGGATTATTACTGTAATGGACAAAACAAGTGAAGACTCAATGGTCAGTGTGATTTGAGAGAAGACTTGGCTCACAGCTTATACAGAGATGAGTAATTGCTTGCAGAGATGATCGGAAGAGTGCTTATTCCCCTGGCTGTATCACAGGATACTTTGGTACTAGCACAAGGACTCTGTCAGTGCCCATAGAGAATACAGGATTTAAATAAGTCATGACTAATACAGCACTTGATAAGTGATATCACAACTAGATGTACTAGCGCAAGTGTTTTTTATCTTCTCTCATCTCTCTAGATGGTCTATAATAGACAACTGGTATTTACAGAGCAAAAAGCTTCTATTTTATTGCCTTTTCTCCTCATACTGCTTTATAAATTGAAGTTAGTATCTAAAAATTAAAAAACAGAAAAAATTCTTCACTTTCACATTCCTTTCTAGAAAGGATACTTTCCTTGTTCATCTTAAAAATAAGTTTATCGTAATAATGTTTAATTGAGTTCCAAGCCTAACTTTTTTTTTTTTTTTTTTTTTTAACTAACTCACACCTTTTTCTTCCACAGATCAAATTAGCAGGCTAAATAGAGTGTCAGTGTCCCCTTAGTCACCATTTTCCTATTTTATCTTTTTCTCCTCTCTTAATATTATTACAGTTTAGTATTTACTCTGTTGAGTCACTGAGCCAATAAGTCACACTTTGGAAATGCTAACTAGCAGAAAGAAATAGTGCATTGGAACTGGAAGCAAATCAAAGTTTACTGATGCTTTGGGTACATGTTCCTGTGCTTGCACATAAGAATTCAGTTTTCCAAAGTTATTTTGCAGAAATTACTTTTTAAAAAAGTGCTACTTAAAAAAATTCAGCATATGCATGTATGATTAGTCATATTTTTCTTCCCTCTGGACTGATCAGCTGGCATAGAAGAATACTACAGTTCCCCTAGATCTGCAACATTAACTACAAGACAGTCAAAATAAAAACACTCTTTACACTTAGAAGGAAGACTTATACTCCTTGTGGCTTAGTAGTGTGCTTTAGCTTTTATTTTGCCTGCAAGACATACATCCCCACAGAGCTATGCATGTTTCCAGGAATGTAATCTACTACATGCAGGATAAAACCAACAGGTCTGTCAATTAAGACAAAGAGTATGTTTTCATGGGGTTCCTTGGTATAGTATGTCTTCTGCTAAGAAGCTACATTCCAACTGGTTTTAATTTAAATTTGTTTGTTTTATTTAAACAATGTAAATACTGACAATATCTTTTGAAATAAAGTGCATGCTTACATAAAAGACTATCATCTCTTATTACCTTCATCAATATACCATGGGGGTTTTGTTTTTATTTGAGGTTGAGAATCAACTGAGGAGCCATTTAACGTGTAGAAGACTTCAGATCTGTTTCTACTCCCAGGTTCAGAGGTAGATCCTAGAAAATAAGGCATGTTTTACTGAAGATATACACCTCCATTTATAAAAGGCTAACTCGGGTCATATTTCAGAGTATAAATTTGTTAATGTACTTTGACTCAGACAGAACTGCCTTTCCACAAAATAGCAAGCCTTGCAAAGATAACACAGTTCTAAGCTTGCAACACTTTAGCAGTTTACCCTAAAACTAGTTAATTCTCCAATCTAACATTTCAAATCAGGAATCTGACGAACAATGCAGAAAATACCCTTTCAGCATTAAATTCTTCTTTATTAGTATAAATTATGGGCTTAAAGCAGTCTGAAATGGTTGACAGTAAAGATCTTTTTAACTTTGCTTTTAAGACAAAGCGTTTTGGAGTAATCAAACTACAGATCCAAGCTACAACTTGTGCCAACATGTAACCACAGCTACTTCAGCAAAGACCACCTCTGTCAGCACTCAATACCAGAATGGAACAAAGGCTTACAGAATATTACTGCCCTTAGTATTCTATAACCTAAAATAGCCACTAGTATATGGATTTTTTATTTTTTAATATTATTTCCCTTCCAGCATGCTCCTCCCACCCTTCAGAGCTAGCCAAAAACGGAGTCAGAAGTTTCTATTCTGGGAAATAGAATTTTGATTTTGAATTGGAGCAAGATTAATAATTTCACTATTAAGTATATCTGCTCCAAGGCTAAAACACTTGGAAGTTCCTAGTGTTGCAGAGGGAAGACCAACACTCTACCCTATGCTTTCAGAAGTGCAGAATGCAGCCCTGAACTGGATATACTAGACAATCAGATAACATGTCCTTGAATTTTTGCTAAACTTCAAATTGGTTTTCATGAACATGAAGATATTTTGAGTAGTCTTGACCTCTGCCTGTACTTCAAGAGAAAAACTGCCTAGCAGGTTCATTATGAAAAAAAGGAAGTGCTTGCTAATATGCTGCGCTTTCACTACCTCAGAGAGAAATTTAACTTGATATACTACAGAAGGAATAAGTAAAGTGATAGCAAATACAAGCCCATGTTTTTCTTCAAACAGATATCTGTAATCTTACATGTCTAAAGAAAATTACTTATCATACATACCTGTAGCTTTTGGCTTACTATGATTGAACAAGCTTTTGTCACCACCACCTCTTGAGGTATAGGCAAGCTTGGGAGGTCTCCTGTCCTGCGACACTGTTTCTAGGACATGGCATATGAATAGGGTATTAGTTTTTCTTTTCTCTGCTTTACTATGCCAGATAAATTTTTCTTGAAATTTAACTGGATCTGGTATGGCAAGTTTCAAAAGTGGGTAGGGTAAAACCCTATCTGGTACATAACCAACAACATTTTCTGACTGAATGTAGGAATTGTTTCTATCGTATCAGAAACTACTTGACTTTGAAGTCTACCTATATTTCTTGAAATGAACAAACTAAATAGAATGACTGCAGGTTCTCTAATGTGTATTACTGGACACAAATGCATAAAGTTCTGAAAACTTCCCCCCCGCCCGCCGCCAACCAACACAATTATAGCAAATGCTCTTTTCCCCAGTAATGAGGGAGCTCCACAAATTCTCCAGAGAAAAGAGAACCCGAAAACATGCATCTCCACTAAAACAAACAAATGAGAGAGATACAAAATGGCAATTATAGAAGCACTGAGCACATGTAACATTTCACACTGCATCCTTCTCAGTATGAATACATTCAGAAACTAAAATTAGCCAAATTGAAGAGAGACAGGGCAACGGCTCCAGATTACACACGCTAGCTGCACTCGGCATTAGCCCATGATTCCAGATAGAGCCCAGACAAAAATGTTTACATGAATTCTTTTTCTTCCAAAAGGAATCACAGAATTACATATTTTATAGACACCTAAAAGACTTTGGGCCAAATAACCTAAATAAACCTTACAGCTGTGCCCTTCTTGAAGCACCCTCATGTCATAGAGAAAGAAGAACTGTAGTGGTTACAAGCTAACACGACTCAGTGAATATTTCTGAATAGAGAATTTGTGCAGTCTTGTTATGGATTTGTCAGACTCAGCTTTCAAGTGTTTACTCTTTCAAATGTGTAGCATCACTAAGCCGCATAGAATGCATAAATAATATCAAAATGTTTACATCTCAAACACAGAAAAGACAGCTTTCTGATCCAAGATATTGTAAATTCCTTGAATAAAAGGAACAACATTCAAGAGTAAGATTCCTGC